TTCGTCTGCTCTGCGAGAAGCCTCACGATGCCCAATATGGAACTTCGAGTAGGAAAGGCGTTGAGCTCGTCTGCTATGCGAAAAACTTCCCCCCAAGATGCCCGATAGCAAGCTTCGAAGAGGAAGGGCCGTTTGATTTCGTCTGCTCTGCGAGAAGCCCCACGATGCCCAATATGGAACTTCGAGTAGGAAAGGCGTTGAGCTCGTCTGCTATGCGAAACCCCTCCCCAAGATGCCCGATAGCAAGCTTCGAAGAGGAAGGGCGTTTGATCTCGTCTGCTCTGCGAGAAGCCCCACGATGCCCAATATGGAACTTCGAGTAGGAAAGGCGTTGAGCTCGTCTGCTATGCGAAACCCCTCCCCAAGATGCCCGATAGCAAGCTTCGAAGAGGAAGGGCGTTTGATTTCGTCTGCTCTGCGAGAAGCCCCACGATGCCCAATATGGAACTTCGAGTAGGAAAGGCGTTGAGCTCGTAGCAAGCTTCGAAGAGGAAGGGCGTTTGATTTCGTCTGCTCTGCGAGAAGCCCCACGATGCCCAATATGGAACTTCGAGTAGGAAAGGCGTTGAGCTCGTCTGTTCTGCGAAAACTTCCCCCCAAGATGCCCGATAGCAAGTTTCGAAGAAGAAGGGCGTTTGAATTCGTCTGCTCTGCGAGAAGCCCCACGATGCCCAATATGGAACTTCGAGTAGGAAAGGCGTTGAGCTCGTCTGCTCTGCGAAACCCCCCCCCAAGATGCCCGATAGCAAGTTTCGAAGAGGAAGGGCGTTTGAGTTCGTCTGCTCTGCGAGAAGCCCCACGATGCCCAATATGGAACTTCGAGTAGGAAAGGCGTTGAGCTGCGAAACCCCCCCCCCCCCCACACCCCAAGATGCCCGATAGCAAGTTTCGAAGAAGAAGTGCGTTTGAATTCGTCTGCGAGAAGCCCCACGATGCCCAACATGGAACTTCGAGTAGGAAAGGCATTGAGCTCGTCTGCTTTGCGAACCCCCCCTCCCCCGAGATGATCGATAGCAAGTTTCGAAGAAGAAGAAGAAGGGCGTTTGAATTCGTCTGCGAGAAGCCCCACGATGGAACTTCGAGTAGGAAAGTCGTTGAGCTCGTCTGCTTTGCGAAAACCCCCCCCTCCCCCCAAGATGATCGATAGCAAGTTTCGAAGAAGAAGGGCGTTTGAATTCGTCTGCTCTGCGAGAAGACCCACGATGCCCAATATAGAACTTCGAAGAGGAAAGGGCTTCTCGCACGAACATAGGGAACTTCGAAGAGGAAAAATCGTTTCAATTTGTCTGCTCTGCCAAAAGCCCCACGATGCCCAATATGGAACTTCGAGTAGGAAAGGCGTCTGAACTCGTGTTTTCTGAAAGCCCCCCCAAGATGCCCAATAAGGTACTTCGAAGAGGATAATGCTTTGCTCTGCGACAGGGCCCCATGATGCCCAATATGGAACTTCGAGCTTTGTCTGCCCAAGTTGCCCAACTCGTTTGTAACAAGCGTCTTAATGCTATTGATGTTGGGGTCTCCTTGAGCGGTTTCCTGCCCACTTTCCATTCCATCCACATTGAAGACCCTGGAATCCATCCCACCTGTCAGTCTTGCCCATGTGCTCGCAAGCTCACATCCTGAATAGGGAGCTTCGAAGAGAAAGGGCGTTTGAGTTCGTCTGCTCTGCGAAAGGCCCCAAGATGCCTATCTGGGAACTTCGAAGAAGAGCTGCACGAAATTTCAACAGTTATTAGAGTGGAATCACAAGAGTGGCGTATGCTGCGCTGCTGGAAGGCTAATATCCTCACTCTTCAACTCAGCAGCGACCTTGGTCCTTGGTCCCATTGGCGCGACGCTTTTGTGACACCATGCCTGAATTTGCTCTTGCTTATGGCTTGAGGTAATGGAAGAGCCCTGGGAGAACGTGGTGCAGATGGTGTCCCAGGCTAAAACAGAGCCCATGCCAAACGCAAATGTACATGGTGTCGAAACCCGCCTAGATTGCAGGTTCCGCGGCAGAACTTCAGCCCGCCTGCTCCAGCGGCGCCAGCGCAGGCCGCACCGCCTCTGCCGCCTGCGCCGCCCGCGCCGCCCGCGCCGCCTGCCACTGCGCCGCTGGCGCTGCCCTCGGAGTCTGACAAACGACCATACCTTGCGCTGACTCGCATGGTGAAGCGTTTTTGAGAGGTGCCTTTCACAACCAATTATAGAGATCGGTCTGCACCTAATTCAAAGCCCTGGCAAACCTGCGCGCTTCGTTGCACTTCCGAGCACAAGTGTTTTCGTGCAGACTGTGTTGGCCGTTCAAAATGTGTACTATTCCTATAGTGGTGCTGCCGCCTGCTGGTGTTTATATTGCTCTGCTGTTGTTTCTGAAAGGCCCCCTGTGGCCTCCCACGTTTCGGGGATCGCAGTCCCAGAGTAGGAGTGTTGTATGATGTTGTAAGTGAAGCGCGTTGCGTTCAAGAATTCATTTGCCGAATCCTGCCCGTGCAGTTGCGCCAAACATCCATCTTGACCCCAACCAATTCCTTCTTTCTGCAGCCGACCTGCAGCAACCCAGGAAACGGACACTGTTCCTGCAGAAGTTCCAGACCTACCTTCCGAAGGAGCACCGGAGCTGAGGGCCACGGATGCATCCCCCGACACGTAGCGACACGTAGCGACACGTAGAGAGGCTCGGGCTCCCCCCCAAAACCGCCCGGGGCGCGATGGTTCAGCTTTGGGTCTTTGGGGGATCTTGCGATAGGGCATTTGAGGATCTAGAATCTGAATAGAATCTATAGAATCGATTAAACGTCCTGTGGCATGGTCGAGACACGCAGCAAGAAGCGACAGCGGTAAAAAAGAGCGCCGCTCCCCCTGCACATGTTCACCCCTAGACTCTAGACAGCTCATATCCCAGAGCACAGCTTGAGTTTGGCCCAGTGGAATTGTAGGTACAGGGTTTGCGGTTTGCGCTTAGGGCACCTTCGCGCCTTTGAGTGGATCGTTGACCAGTGTTCTGTGCCTTGTGCGCTGCCGATTTTTTCCATGGATATTTCTAGACCGTCTGTGGGTCTTTCCGGTTCAATGACGTGAAGGCCACGCTGCCCGGTTGTTAGGCGGTGGCGGTGACAGGTTTCGTTTTGAGACGGCCGCCTCGTTCACGCAGGCAGCGAGAGGTTCACAGCCTTGCGAGCATCTCAGGCAATTGGAAGTGGCAGCGAAAGTCGTGAGATGTTGCAGGGATTCGTGACTGAGGCCAGCCTTTGACCAAGTAATACAGGATGCCCTCGGCTCGGTCACAGGGCACTTATCTATTGGATGTTTGGCTACGGATTGTAAGAGCATAGCTGATTTCCATACGGTTGTCGCCAGGCTTTCCCGCAAGCTGCTGTCATGCCTGTGCTTTGTGGTCGGTGGCCTGGACACACTAGCGGGACACTGCGCACTTTGTCGGATTGCCGTGAGCCTGCCCTGATACTTGCCGGATCTTGGGGCCAGTGTGTATAGGGATCGGGAAGAGCCATGGATGCCGACGCAAAATTCCGTGAGGGAGGTGAGCTGAGCAGCGAGGCACGAGCCTGGCCTAACAAAAGTGAGGCCGCGAGGCCCTCTTCGGCGCAAGGCCGAAAGAGCCAGCAGCAGCACAACGACCAGCAACAGCAACAAACAAAATAACCAGAAACGATGAAAGCGAGGGCTTCCACACACCACTGCTGCTGTGCGAGATCTGCCGCGCCGGGCATATGTCGGTCGCAGGTCCCGCGAGCACCGCTCGCCGTGTGACTTCGTACTTCCTGCCGGAGCCCTTTTGACCCGGTGACCCATCCGTTGCCCGCTTGTCGACTCCGTGCTCGCCATTGCTCGCCCACTGCGAAATCTGCCATGTCAGAACCTTTCTCTGCGGGTTTCATGCCGCCGTCGCTGTCCGCCTGCGGGGAGTGGCGTCCGGAGTACACCCTACCCCCGCCGCCCCGCTGCCTGGGCCGAGGTGCTCGGCAAGGAAGAATCCCAACACGGACCCGGAGGGACGCAAAACTCCAACGTGTGAGACCCCCCGGAAGAAGCACCAGATGTCGAGCCTTTCCTGGGGCTCGCTGAAGCTGGTTCTAGGCATTTCTCGATTTTGTCGTTGTTTAGCAGCTTCTCGGAGCCAGAAGCTGAAAAGAATGAAGGCTCATGTGGTCACTTGAGATCTGTTATCTCACTTTCAGATGGTCCCCAGATTTTAGGAAGTTGGCGATTCAGCAATTGGATGGGAATCTTGGGCACCCAGATCTGCATCTTTGATGTTGAGTGGTGACAACCCGCGAAGAATCAGCGAGTCGAGTTGGGGATGGGTTTTTGGAAAGGCAACGATTTGCTGTTTGAAGGGCTTTCACAGCCTAGAGGGTAGAGCTGAGGCCCTAAGCGCCGCATCCAAGTTCCGCTCCATCAATGTCGCTCAGCAGGCCAAAAGTGCATTATGCACCCTGCAAGCACCACAGTCCGACTTCCAAGCTCAGGTCCTCACTTGCCGCTTTTTCTGGAGCTGGGGGGGGGGGGGGGGGGGGGCGAATCATGTCACATCTCACCTATGTCGTGCTGAGACACATTCCTTAAAAGGGCCCAAGGCCAAAACAACCCTGCCGTGGCAGCACTGCAGGCCCCAAGTTCCAAAGTTGGCTTGAGTGAGGAAGGCCGTGCGGTGGCACTGCGGGCTTGCATTGGCCCATTGGCCAGCTTCGCTTTGAGAGTCGGGGGGGGAGGGGGGGGGGGGGAGGGGGGGGGGGGAGGGGGGGGGGGGGGGTTTTGCTTTCTAAGCGGGAAGGATGATTGATTGGGAGCATCAATGGGAGCATCAAAACGAGCCATGGGGTGCTTGCTTGTTGCACAACGCGGCAGGTGATGGCCATGTTGCTTTGTTCGGCCGGCTTCTTGAGCCTTACCATGTTCATCCTGGTGGCTGGGGCCACGGCACAGCCATGGGCCACGGAATTCAAACCATCCGCGTGCCCCCAAAGGCGTCCGAGTCGTGGTGTCAGGTTTGCTTCATGCTGGACACAGCGCTGAGCTGGAAGCACCGTGCCACGTACTACACTTGCCGGCAGAAGGCAGCAGAGCCCAGCTGAGGTGCTAAGGAAGCTATGAGCAAATTGGCTATTTGTGTCTTTGCCACAGGTGCAGCAGGTTCAGGAGGCGCTGATGAAGGGGAAGGATGACCTCTCTTTGCCTGGGCGCCCAGATGGGCTTGCCCTCCTTGCATCTGCACATGCCTGCTCATGTCCGCGCATGTCTGTGCATGTCTGCGCTGAAAGCTTTCAGGTGCCCCTACTGCGTGGAGTGCACCCAGTCCAGGAGCCCAGCGAGATGCCTTAAAGTGAGCTTCCAAGGCCAACTCCTTTGTTACAAGGTACACTCAGGCCCAGAAGAAGGTCAAGTTCATCTGCGGCCACGGTTACCACCTGCACTGCATCAACCGGTGGCCTGGGCCTTACGGGTTCTGCCTTTTGGAGATGGAATGATCGAGGAGTGGCCGCCATCCAAGTCACAGTTTGCCAACATCAGTCGTACAAATAATTTCATTACCTGCCAGTCATTTTGCCAGTCTGCCGGCACCAAGGTTCCAGGACCACCCGAACTCTGTTGGCTCATGCCCGGTCTGTGAGGTGAACTGTCGGGCACGAGCGACTGTCGGAGTAGTGAGCACGAAATCTTGCGATGGGGGTTGCGACAAATTTGCGCAATTTGTGGATGTGTGCCACGCCTTTGTGCAGGGCGAAAAGAGCTCCAGGGGAGACGCGCCCAGGGACGAGGCGCCCGGACGCCCTGCCAGTTCTCTTTAAAACCGCATGAAATCATGAAATCCTTCTCACACGCCTCTTCAGCACATTCAGCACACGTAACACCCCGTCCCCGCATGGAATCTTTTGCACTGCACACCGCAGGCTCAGACCTTCATCCTGCACAGCCTGCACAGGTGGCAGCTTTTTTGGCGGCTCGTGTGGCCTTATGACAAGATTCAGATGATGCGTCATGCAGGCGCTTTCCGACCATCATTACGCAGGCTGCCGTGCTCTTTGAGCTCTGGAAATTAGAAGCTGCTCTCCAAATGACTCATCCTGCAGGAGTGCATCGAGAGCTGGGAAGGGTGCAATGCTGAGCTGTGGCTTACCGTGCTGAAGTGTCCCAGGCTGGCGAGGGCTGAGCCAGACACAAAACGAGACAGTCTGTGAAGTTGCCACCTTCTGTGCCAGGTACAGCTCGCTGTTCAGCAAGGTCTTCACGCGAGAGTGAAGGCGAATAAAGAATGATAGACTCGATAGACTCTTGTACCTTTCAAGATAGAATGCCTCAGAGCGAGGCTATAGAGGAAGAGATGGTACGAGTCAGCACAAACTCATCCGGCGAGAGCTGAGACCTAGCTCCGAGAACAAAGGCCAGTTCTAAGACCGTGGATTCCAATGGCTTCTACTGGTGACTGATGAACTGGAATGAATGATTCACCCTTAGGATGCAACCTGTCATTCTGTCATTTAGTACCAGACGGTAGGGGTGTTGCTTCCGGGCCCCTGTTGATGGACTGGTTAACTATTAGAAGAACGAAGTGAAGACAGCGAATGCATTAGCGAACTAAATGAGCGAACGAATGTAATGCATGAACGTATGAACGCAGTGAGACAAGAGAATTAGCGAAATGAGTCCAGAGATTCCAAGTGATAAAGCCTCAAGAGCTTACTCAAGGAGTATTGGGCTGTCGGAATTCGTCGGATCGTTTCTATGACGCTCAGGATGGCTTAGGTCATTTGCGCCGGGATGTGTTTTCTTGTCGAAAAGCAGGAACTTGAAAACGAGAGCATGCCGCATGTACCCCTGTATACCCACCGAGGGTGCTCAAGCACAGCACTTTTTTCCCATAGCATGCTTCATGGCCTATAGAGTGCCTTTCTTTGCTTTCGTTTGCCTTCATGGAACTACATGGCTCTTTGTCGAAGGATCGCTCGTTTGGTCGCGGAAGTTGGACAATCCCGGCCAGAGGCTTCCATGTACACCGAGGCCCGCGCCGCCAGCGCATGGCGCGCATCGGGCGCCCTGGGCGCCCCTCAGGTGCATTCAATCCATTCGATCTGGCTGAAAGGCCATCCCACAGAGCTACCTTTGAGGGGACAGGGACGACCGGGACCCGATCACTCTTTGGAAGAGTTCCAGTACTCGGCGGGCTTCTTCGATGGCGCAGGGCACGTCGTCGAGGATGTGTCTGGGTGGAGATTGGAACTGACGCTACCTTCGGAGCAGCAGGACCCACAACCCAGTCTGAGTGATGGCAAGAAGGGTGTTTGGAGGTGCTCCAGTGCAAGGTTGAGGCTACACACTTTACACACTTTTCATCGTGATTTAGACAGCCTTGATTCAAGTGATCCTAGGACGTGCTTCTGCGCTTCCACGACCTTTACGGTGGCTGGGGGCCCAGTTGGCCAAGGGCTTCTATCTGCTTATAGAACACCTCTTGCGGCTTAAGGCATCTTGTGCATCTTGTGCGTCTTGCGCACCTTAGTGTCATCTGACCTCTTGCATGTCAGTTGCGTTCTCAGTTGCAAGGCATCCTCTCCAGCAGCGAGGCGCACAGTTCCGTGGGGGCACAGCTGAAGTGGGCCCTCGCCGGGGCGCCTTCGCGACGAGCCGCAGCCGCTCTTTCGGGTGCCGTGGCGCTGCAGCGGCACCTTGGCGATTGCGACCCTTTCACGCTTTATCGTGTTCCCCTCAATTTTTTTGAGCTTCGGTTACTTCGGTGACTCGTACTTTTGAAATTTGGGCTTCCTCACCCAGGCCTCAGCTGTTGCTTGCTGCTCACTGGCGTTGCAAGAAGGCACCTGCATCGCCTTCGCTGTCCAAGCGCGCGGCGTTGGCAGCCTGCAGGTGGATGAGGCCCGAATCCCCAGCCGAATTCACGTGGCCTTACTTTGCAGGGCTCTTTGACGCGTTGGGCTGCATCGTGTGCATCAACGACTTGATCCTCTTGGAGCTCAGGCACAGCTCCAGCAGCTACCTGGAGCGCCTGCGACGTTTCCTTCTGGGAGAGGCTCATGGGGCCTCGGATGTCTCGCAATTGGTCTCGGTTCGCCACTTCCACCGCTCCAGCCGCTTGGTGGTTCACGAGCCCTCAAGCCGGATCACCCTACGGCGGCTCCTGCAAGCCGGCTCGAGGCCCGGCTCAGATCTGGGAGCTATGGTCTCCAGTAACTCCAGCAACTCCAGTAGTACATGTCAATACATGTCAACGCCAACGCAGTGCACTCGCTAGGTCGACCTGCGCCACATGGAAGCAGCTTTTAGATCGTGTGTTACTTTCAGCACACCGTGCTGTTGCGTGACAAGTGAATTCCCGTGAGGAGGGTTGCAGGATCTTGCAGGGGTTGTAAGTGATTGTACATGAAAATCTCATAACACATTAAATCTATGTGTGTAAATACGGTCGCCCCCCCCCCCGCCACCCCCCAAAGGACCAACCTCGACTATGACAGCTTCTGTATACACTACATGTTCTGATGCTTTCCCAGTATGTCTGATCAGTGTGTTACTCTTAAGAGATAGAAGGGTCTAGAGCCATACTTGCTAAGTCTCGCTACACCTGCCCCAAAATATCCCAAAATCCACAAATCCATCCCATGTACCCCTAGCAGAGTTTCATTTACGTCCGAACTATTCGAAACGTGAGCGTGGCCTTAGTAGATACTAAGTAGCGTATTCAATAATTAAGATGTTGAAGATAAGCTTTCTGTATATGAAAGCCCTGTACAAGTCTTTGATTGTTTAACCCGCTCAAACAGAATACACATGTGTTATGCACAGGCCTTTGCTAACGACTTGTATCAGGGACAGCGTATATTTGTTAGTGTATAATTACTCTGTGCGGAATTTAAAAGAAGCTGAAAAGGTCATTTTTTCAATCAGAGCCATTCTGGGACACATCACGAACACCCTTGCCTTTCGATAATCTTGGAGTCAAGGAGTTGTAGCTCGAACTTTGCAGCAAGGATCCAACGGCACCATGAGCCACTCCCAGGTTGCAGCCCGACCTTCGCATCAAAGCTCCCCCGGCACGACCCCATGTTCCAAAAAAAGAGGAGGCCCCTGTTGCTTATCTCACGCATGGTCCGCGAAGGAAGTGGCATTGTCCAAGATAACGGCTGTGGGGCCGAGCACAAGGAACCTTGAATTTGTGTCTGGCCTGGGTGGCAGTCTTATCCTTGCATCAGAGCTCCGTCGGCACGACCCCGTGTTTCGAGAGGAGGCCCCCATTGCTTATCGGAGGCGTGGTCCGAATTGGAAGATGCGCAAACTGGCAAGGCCCCCGGATAGGGTCTATGCCGAGTCTATGCCTAAGCTCTGACCCCCTGTGTATAGACCCCTACTCCTTTGCGGGGGAGGGGTGCCTATCCGCGCCAGACAGAAGGGGGCTGGGGATAGGGGTCTATCCTGAATCCGATAGACCCCTTTAAAAGAGGGGTCTATCTGAAAGGGATAGGCGGTACTTTATAGACTCTTACTCCTTTGGCGCGCAAGGGGTCGTAGACATCCTAACAGCAGGGCAGAACAAGGAATCACATCAATCCGTAAGAGCCATTGTGCGCAATTGTAGCGTCACGGCTGCCCGTGCTCTTTGTGGCCTCGAGCTTTCCCCGTGTTGCAGTGATTATAGTCAAGATGCGGCCCTGTCAGTCCATGTCAAGAGACGTGGCATCCTATGTTCACAATGTTCACAAGCTCCTGTTCTACAGCTTTCTGTGGAGGCATGGGCCTTCTTCGTCAGATCCATACCGACCGATGGTCTAACTTCATTGTAAGCAGCGTGCGTCCATGGACTGGTCTGTCTTGACCGCACGGTCTTACCTTCCAAGGAAGAGCTCCTTCCTGGGGGCGCTAGTGCCACCCCCGCCGGTGCTCGGCGGCCCCAGCGCTGCAACGACGGTCTTTGGGTTAGAACAAACGCATCCACGACTAAAAAATTGAACAAGACCGGCTTTATGTACTTTGAAAAGGACAGCTAGCGCATGTCAATCGATGCACGGAGCAAGGCGCTGCTTGAAATGCTGGGCCGGCGCGGAGCATGGCAAAAACTTATGACACAAAGGTCCTCTCCCAAACACAGAGCCGAAACGCTTGAGTCACGGCCCTCTGCCTTCAGAACTTTACGTTATGCCCTAGCCAGACAAGCGCAAACAATTGTAAAATATGTAAACTTAGCACAGACAAGTACAAAACAAGTCATAAAAAACACACAAAAAAGTGCAAAACAGGCAAGACAAGCACGGGTTTAAACAAGATGTGTTTTTTCGTTCGTTCTTTCATGTCGCGGTTGGTCCTTGGGGGGGGGTGGCATAGATGCATGAAGGCATATGTGTACATGTCGTTACTCTTCCGGGAACATATTAACACACTTGCAATTTCATGGTTGAACTGAGGATCCTGAGGAGGGAGGCAGTTCTGGTGCTGTCGAGGCGCGCCCCGAGGTCGCCCAAGGGACTGCGGCGGCTCCTGCAGGCGCGGGGCTGCGCCACCGTGGCCGCCGGAGGCTCCGGTTCCGGAGGCAGTTCCCGCATCCGGCTGGTCCAACTGAGCCAGAGCCGCGCGAGACACCTGGAAGCCCGAGGTCGGCAGTCCGAGGCCGAGGACCGGCGCCATGCACTGGTGCTCCTGCACTTGCACTGCGCATCTCGATCAGTATCGATCACTCATCACCCATGATAAGACACCAATTAGATTCACTGGCTAATAATTGAGGAAGGGAACCATGGCCCTTGCCTCCGCTCTCCCGACCGCGCGCTGTGTTGCAGATCTGGATCCGAAGGAACGCTTCGCATGATTGCATCGCGTTGCATCGCACTTCGTGCCAGAGGTGGGCTCGTGCATCCGCGTTCTTCCCATCGGCACGTGAAATGCTCAGGAGACTGTCATGACCACATTGGAGGAGCCGCATTCAAGCCTCGGGCGAGTTGAGGACGGAAGGACGGGCAGCCTCCTCAGAAAGTAATGAAGGCACCCGTCGCGCCAAGAACTTTCTCTGGAGCAACTCTGGCCAGCGAAACATGAAACGCTGTGGCGTGCGCTCTCAAAAAGTTGCCTCCAACCTGTGGGCCGGAATCGGGCTGTGGATACACGAGCTTGAGCGGACCTGATGCCAGTGGAAAGTCCTGCAGGCGTCCCAGCATTGAGATCACCACGCCTTGCACAAATACTCCTTCTTGCAACAGTTGCAAAGTTCATACAGCTTCACAATGTGTCGCACTGCTGCCTGCAGAATAGGTGCCAGTCAAGTTCAGTCAAGGCTTGCAGGGCAGAGGATTTCAGGAGTTCAGGCCGCCAATGTGTTGTGAGCAAAGACGATGCATCACAGATCCAGTATCGAATAAGAGAACGTGGCCTGTTACCCTGATTACAGTCCCAGCTTTCAAGTCGAGTCTCGGCGTTTTGAAGCCTGCTTGTTCGCGGGGGGAGGAACCCTAACGGTGCAAAACAGGGTTCTCCGCTCACTCACAACCTTAAAAGTGTTAATTAGTCATAGGTTTAATGACGACGACGGCGGGAGCCAGTCTGTTCCGGAACTCTTGGGGTGATGTTGGGGATGCAGGTTCTTCTTTTCTTTTGTAGGTTTAGATGAACTTTCTTGCGATGTTGAAGTACTTTGTGCACAGTGTCGAGACTCCGCCCAGCCGCCCAGCCAGCAATCCTAGACCGACACGCCTGAAACCACCTCTCATATCGCAGTGCGCTGGCGAGCTGAAGGCTAGAGTCGTGGTCCTGGTTCATAGGGCAGTTCTACTCAAACTGCATCTGGGTCCTGTAACTCGCGCGCACTTTTGACAGCAGCTTGGGAGGGCGCGTCGAACAGGGATTCTTAGGAAACGTAATAGTATATTCGGCTTTCAAACCTTTAAGCGCCTTGTTAACTTATAAGCAGCCAAGCTTGTGATGCTGTGCCATCCAGACGATTTCGGCTCAGCAGCAGGGAACCGGCTCGCTGCGAGTCCCGTGTTGTCAGATGGGATGCTTGCAGCGGCTGTGGAATGAATGTGTCTGGAACGGGGAATGAGGTCACAGTCCTGCCAGAAGGCAACAGCGGCTCCTACTGGTTTCTGGGAGTATCTGGGCAGGAAAGTAGACACCCCAAACAAAGCACCATACAGCGTTGATACATTTTTCCCTGTCACGGCTCCCAGAGGGCCCCGGAGCAAAACCAGCCTGCCAAAAACGGAGCAGCGTAGAGCGCGGACAGTGCGAGAGTGCAGTCCCCGCGTAGACAATCTACTACTATACTATTATACAAATTCTGAGTATATGACGAAAATGCTTTTACAGATTAAGGTTTGCCTGGCTGTCCTCGGCACGCTGGCGGGCACCATCGGCAAGCAGATGGTTCGCTGCTCAAAGTTGGCGAAGGAGAGGCGAAAGCAGAAGGAGGGCAACTTCCTCCTGGTGGCCGGCCACACGGACTGAGGGAGAGGCTTTTCAACTTGCGCTGATTTGTTGAAGGGATCCTGCCTCTTCAGTCGCTTCCGTTTGCCTATTCTGAGAACTCTGAGTCTTCCATTCTTTTCGATTTCTTTTTCTTGTTTCTGCTGAGATCTAAGGTCTGGCACTGCAGGTGGCTTTGAACCCGGCCTGCGACGTCGCGGGCTACGCGCTGGCGCCAGCCTCGGTCATCGCCCCCGTGACGGGGATGGACCGGGGGATGACAAACCGGGGACAAAGGGGGAGGGCTCCGTCAGTGTCCCAAGCAAAAAAAAATGCTTCCTACTGTGGCAATCTGTGGCAGGATATTGTTTGGAACACGGTGATCGCGCCCTGCTCTTTGGGGGAGACCCTGACACCCCGGCGGTTGATCAGCGCGGCGATCATCTTTTTCACAGCCACCACCTCCGCAGGGGGTCTCAGCGTCTGCTGCAGGGTTTACACTATTGGCCAGGAACGAACGCAACAAGGTTCCAACACGCTGTTACGGTTAAACCCTCCACAAGGCGAGTTCCTATTTACGAGTGTGCAAGGCTCCCAAGACAGGAGCCCGAGAGTGCACAGCACATGCTGCAGACACAAGTTACGATGCTCCCAAAGAGCACGGGAAATCGAACAGAGAGCAGTAGCTACGTAGTAGAAAAATTACGTAGTACCAAATTGAGACATCTCATGTCTCTCCCTTCCCGCGAAGGGCAGCAAGTTCCAACAGTTCCCCCCTCGAAAGAAGAAGAGATTTCCCACGAAGAGCCACATCTGGATGATTCTGGATGATCAACAAAGCTGCATTTCCCCTCTCTGAGGTGTTCTTTCGGCAGATCAACGAGGTGAACTGGAGCGCTGAGTATGTGCAGCATGTCCTGCTGCAGTCACGGACCATGGTCTATGGCCTTTGTTTCACTGGCTGGTGCTGGCCTCAAGCTGCCCTTTCAGGACCTAGCTGACCTAGCTTCTCAGAGCATCACATGGAACAGGTTCCTGTTCAACACCTTGGTCCTGATGAAGTATCCAAACGGTTCTGCAGTGCGCGGCTTCTCACTCGGAGCTACTGCAGGTGTCCGGCTCGGTCTGAGCTTGTGTCTCGTGCACCATTGCCACATGATGCAGTGCGTTGCCGATAGCAAGACATCGACGGTTCCTGAGGCACTCTGGCAGGAAACATGTGGTGCACAAAGATTGCAACCGGGCTGCAACTTAGGACTTTGCGAGCAGCACCTAGCTGGTAAGCATTCTTCTTCAGAGGTGGCAGTCCTTCTGGAGCAGTGCTTCGGCGGAAATTGTCTGGCGTGGACAAAGCCTGTTTCCTGGTTTGCCGCCACGGCTGCGATTCTTTTCAGCAGCTCGGAGGATCAGATCTGCAGGTGTCATCAGCTGACATTCTGAAGAATTCGAGCTGACTATGAAAAAGAGTGGAAAGCGTGAGGGAGGTCTCCTAGGCTTTGACTTGCGCCGGATGCCTTTTCAGGTACCACCAACTTGTACTTCATCTCTTTAGGGCTGCAGCACTATGAGGCGCTGTGCAATTTGGTCGTTCCATGAGACTTCAACTGAGGGCTTTTGGGCTTTCAGTACTTTGGGGATTTGGGGCTTTGGGGCTTTTGCAGTGCATCGGTTGGGTCATGTCGTTGTTGCGGCCTCTTTTTTTTTGAGCAGCAAACGCCGTAACATGACCCACGTGCCATGTTGCTATAAGTGCAGCCTGCTAAAGCTTGACTCGCAGAGCCAGCTGAGGCTTTTGCTTTGTGGTGTGGTCTTTTATTTATTTTTGTCTTTTCTTGCGCCTTGTTCCCCTCCTCGGTGTGGGGTTCTTAGGTGTTAAGTTCAACCATGCTCCTCGCCTCCGGTGTTCCGCCCAGTTGGAGTTCCGACCCGCTGAGAAGCCCGCAGAGACAAAGAGTCTAGCCGAGTATCCATGGCCCATCCGCAGAGAAGCCCGAGAAGAGTCCCGCTGAGCATCCTAAAAGTGTGCCCCAAGAGAACCCTCAAAGAATTCTGGGGAGAAGCTGTGGCAATTTTTGTAGTTGCCTGTTTGAAAACGGCAGGATCTCTCCCACCTGAGGTAGCTGTAGGGCGGGGATGATCGAAGTAAATCATCTGTTCTGCTTTTGTTGGCCCTAAACCCTAACAGCCTCTACTTAAACCCAAAAGCGTTCTAAAAACCCTAGGCCCTAGGACAACCTGAAAAGCCTAGAGGCTCTAAAGAAAACGGCAAACAAAAATCCACAAGTTGGACGAAGGCCCCCAAAGCCCCACCCTTGCAAAAAAAACCCAAATCAACCCGAGTATTCGCGGCACAGGCGCTCTTCATGGTCACAGTCTTCATGGGGTCGAATATCGTCACCAACAGCCTCAGTGCTATCGTCGTCCTGGCAGAGATGGATGAGGCCAGATCTCTTGGGAATTGTTCTGCGGTTCCGTCAAGAGCAGAGTCCAGAGTGAGTCGTGAGTAACTACAGGAACCTCTGCATGTCTCGGTGCGGGGAAGTAGTCCACAATTCTTGCGAAGCTAAGCAGGAGCTTGCAAGGGGCCTGTCGACGTTGCTCTATTGTTGTCTAGTATTCGTTGCCTTGGTTAGGCTGGGCATCGAATTGCATCCGAGCCTCTTCATGCCTGACCCCCTTCTTCATGCCATGTTGAGACCCTTTCGGGGCCTTTCGAGAGCCCTTTACAAGAGAGAGAAGCTTCCTTATTCCTTGCACTTTGCAAGAGAGGCTCCCTGGTGGAAGCTGGGGGGCTACGTCCTGTGCATCTTGGGGATGATGGCGGGGATGGTGCTGCTGACCGAAGGCCACTGCAGTAGCTGGTATACTGCACCATGGGATGATTGATGAGGGAGGGGGAGCTGGGGGGGGGGGGGGGTTCAGGAAAGTGCTTGGGGCGCAGTCCGGCTTTTGAAAGATTCATGTTCCTACTGCGTAGCGAACTGCCATGAGAAGCCCTTCTCTGGAGGCGAGAAAGAGTCGCCTCGCTCGCGGTTCACACCTGCAAGCCTGGAGGAGGTCGAGCTCTCGAGCTACGATGTGAGGTCTATCGGGGCCCCCTCTTCGCCTCTGGATTAGGGAGAGTTAGCTGCTTGTGCAAGCTCCTTATTCTGGAGTGAATACATCCTCTTTGCAGCCCTAAGTCAAACTGAACACTCTCAAATACATCCTTCGCATTCTCATGATTCCCCACCCGTGGAATGCTCTCCTCTTATTTTGCCTTAATGCTCTCACACACACACACAATCCGGAAGAGAGAGGTGTGGCCTTCCCCGCCTCTCAGGGTATGCTTTCACCTCTTAGACCGTCCCCCCTTCGGTCCCCCGCAAAGTGCGCCGCTCTGCGTGTGGCTCTCGAAGTCGAAAAACGGTTGCCAGGAGCGCGTCACGGGTGGCCATGGGTTACATTGCTATAAGACTTCGCACGAGACTTTGCTCCGATGGGCATGATTTGATCACTCAGATAGGATTATCAGCCGGTGAAGCTTCTCAGTCGGAGATCGACTCTCCGCAGCATTCCGTCGCGCCGGGGCTCAGAAGCCTTGAAAAGGGGGCCAGTTTTGAAGGGGGGGAAGGGAAGAGCCCTTAGAGCTCTTCGAGGAGCTCCTCTGAGTCTCCGCATCGTCCCCCCGGTCCGGGCTCTCAGAAGTCTCCGAGAAGAGGCGACAAAAAGCAAACAATTTGCGGTAGTTTGCGGGTGTTTTTCCTTGAGCACTTCTACCGTCGGGCTTCGTCGGGTGCTTCACTTGTGAGGCCACGGCAAGGTGCTGAAGGCGCCTGATTTCAGGGAGAGTCCGGAGAGTCCCCCAAAACTCTGCAGGGCCGCTTTGCCATGCTTTGCCATGCTTGGCCACTTTGCCAGGAGTCGGTGGATTGCCGCTTTGCCAGTTTTGTGGTTCTGCCGTTGGTTATGCGCGGTGCTCGGCGGTACTCTGGGCATGTCTCTAGGAAGCACAGTGCAAAACGCACTTTCCTATCGAAGGAGTGCGGTACTCTTTCCTTTCCGGCAAGCCTTTAAGGCCGTTCTGGCCTCAGCTGCGAAACACTTTACACGTCTTGTACACTCTTCGTAGGAAATTTGCAAATTTGGTCGGGGGTCAGGTGCCTGACTTACAGTAGTAGCCATTGTGCAGGAGAGACGCATGTCGCACCGAATTCCCTATTCCTCCTAATGACTGACAGAGAACCGAATACAAAGTGAGCTCATGTCTTTCCTGAACGGGGGAGCTGCCGCCTTGCTTCGAAGGTGCTGATTCTCTTGCAGGTCCTCTTCGTTCTCTACGGCCGCTCGCATAGTTCAAGGATCTTCCAAGGGGCCTTGTGAGGCCTTATGTAGTTAGGGATGTTTACGGATGGCCCAGGGCTGGTGAGGAGTCTCTACTCGTAGTTGTGGACTCGAAGTATACTTCATGTTTGGATTGTAGAGAAAGTGGTGCATAGACACGCTTGCATTCGAGGCGCTTATGCAGCATACGAGATTCGGCTTTACCCCATCAAGGCCATCCTGTTGCTTGTTCGACTTGGCTTTGTCACCAAAACCTCCCAAGGACTATGGCTATATCATCCATGAGTGCACGGCCCATTCCTGCAATTGCCTGCATGACGCAATCACAGCATCTGAATGGAGCGCAGTACGGCGCAAATGAGCAATGACGACCGCCGGAGGCCATCACGCGCGCAGCCTCAATTGAGCAGCTGAGGTTCGATCCTTGGTTCAACTACCGGGCTGCGGAATACCTGGCAGAACATGGCTTGCCAGGAACTTACGATAGGATGCCGTGAATGATGGAACATGCCGGCTGTGTCATAGGAAAACCTGTCAGGCAGAAGTTCTTCCAGTGGTACGACTACGAGTCATGGTACCCGCTTGGTCGGCCAATTGGTACAACGCAGCCGCCCTGGGCACCGGCTCCACTCATAAGAGAGCCCACCATATTTTCACTATATTTTGCAGCCCACTCTCCAAGGATCTACCCCGGCATGCAGATGACTGCAGTGTGGATCTGGGAGGCTGCAAGGGTCGTCAAGATATCAGATTCAGTCTCTGGAGCTGTTAGCACGCTCTGAGGCCATGAAGAAGGTGGGCGACTTTAAGGTGGAGACTCCCTCTCTGGTCTTGGCGCTGAGGCCAGGATCGTATAAGATGCAGATGCCACGGCGCTCGGAGTTAGAGAATCTGCAGAAGCTCTGAGGCCAGTGATCTCCTCCCTGAAGAAGAGTGGCTGGAAGTTTCTGTACCCAGCTCAGAGGCTACCTCCAGACGCTTTTTCCGATGCTTTGCCTCCAAAAAGGCCAGCCTTGAAGCAGTCGTACGAGTTCAGTCCCATGAGCCGGCAGCTCAGAGAGTTCTCACCACACGCTTAGAACACGGATGTCATGGCAACTCTTTTTTTTTGGATTTTTCGGCCACCTTGAATCCACGAACTTGTGCTGGCATCTGTGTGGGGTCACCATGTCAGCCATCCTGGAGCTCTTCTCTGCGGGGGACCATGTCCCACGGCGTCGCCCACAAAGGTGTCAACGACATCTGCTGCATGATCCCGCCTTGGTTCGGCTCCTACGCGCCGAGGCCTCAAAATGGCCCTTAAACAGGCTGGAGACGTTCGGTGGTCTTTGTGCCCTCCTACGCCCCATGCCACTCACAAGGTCCATTTTCTCGGGCCTGTTGGCCTACGAGATCTCGCGGAGCGTCAGGGCCTGAGGGCCCCGAATGTGGCTGCTGAGCCTCGCTTTGTACACTGTACGGTTGATGGCCACTCGAATTTCAGGTCAACGCTGGGGTCTGCACAACCCTGATCATGGCCATCATTCCCGCGCACCTGATGAGGCCCTGGCACACCGCAGGCCAGTGCGGTGCCGTGGCACTTTCGCAGAGGTCTGTGGGTGGCGAGTTCGATAATGAAGCCGTGGCAGTGACGGCGATTTGCTCCACCTTTTGGCTGCCACGAGCTAAGCTGCAGACTCTTAGGGGATGCAAGTGCAGCGCAAAGTGAAGTAGTGACTTTGTACATAGCGATCGTATCATAGTTCGAAAGAGTCAGTTGATTGAGTCAGGTGGATTCTGAGCGTTCGAACACCGAAGCACTGGCCCATCGGGCTTTTTGCCGGCCTGCGGCCCAGACAGAGGTCTTTTTGACAGTCAAGACGGAGTCAGCCTCTTGCTCTCTGAAGGCAGGAGCTTAGGAGATTAGATTGAACCTCTCCACTGAACTGCACCCCAGCCGTACTGACTGTCTTGCGCGACTGGGTCCTATTGTTGGTGCAGCTCTGTTTGTCGATATAGGTTGCTGCGCCACCCTCAGAAGTAGGTGTTGGCTGTACACATACACACGGTGTGGAGCACGTTCTCAAATGTCATCTATAAGCAAGTACGCCGAGCCCAATGCTCACCAAAGCTCCTACAGAGGCTCACGGAGCTTCGCACGCGCACGCATAGATGCACAGAGCGTGCAAGGCTGAAATGGTATCTCAAATGATCGATTTTTCCTTTTTGGAATACCGGCCTCGCATTCTCACATTGGGCGGGTCGGTGGGAGAAGCGGAGCGGAGGGCCGGCTAATTTTTGCCTCCGCAGCAGTCCCTCGGGTTTAATGGTGTTGAAAACTTGTTGGCTTGGAGATGGACTTCGATTCAGCGCTGCCAGAAAACATATAGGAGCACCACCTGCAGAGAACAAGTCTGAACCTTTCCTCGGCACCACATTCAAAGACCCAACAGCACATGTGACACGAATCATATTCGTCGAGCATTTTCGCATTTCGTCCTTTCCGGCTTTGCTCGGCCAGCGGACTATTGATCGGTGCCCCTCCCTGTTCTGTATAAAGACTGAAGAAAGCGGTATGCACTATTGACAATGATGCTCTGCGTCTTGCTCACCACGAACACATTCACAAATCCCCAGAAGCATCACAGCATGACTCAGCAACATGCAGCACTTTTGTGTTCTTGGTCTGGGCCTCTTTAAAGCTCAGGCTTGTCATACATCTACATGGTAGCCGTGGTGACCTCAGCCCCATCCGGGCTGCTGTGGGACCTGTTGGTTTGTGATTCTGAGGCTTGGGGCGGCTACATCTTCGTGATCAACATGCGCCTCGGCATGCAGGCCACTGAGTACAGAAGTACAGTTCAGAAGTTTCCGGAGGGTCGGCATCCACGCTGCGATGCTGGTCGCGCTCGGCCGCTTCAACTCCGGCGCCCGGCACCCTAAGAAAAAGAGTCAACAGCAGCAACAGCAACAGCAACAACAACAGCAACGGCGACAAACTGTATCAAGTAATAGTGCTTCTTGGCGCGCCGCGAGTGGCAGAGAGAAAGCAGGAGAAGCACTTGGCGCGCAGTGCTCTTTGTGCGGCAGGGGCGCTGGGGTGCTGCAGGTCCACAAAGCCTACAGCATCTTCTATGTGGCCTGCACCCAAGAGCATCATGGACATGCAGTACTTAGGCCAGCTTGTTCTCGTGTTCTGCGCTGCAGTCTTGAAATGTCTATAGCACACTGAACTGCTGAGGTTGGCATCCTTGGGGCAATGCAGATCCCCGTGGTTGGCATGCAGCCGTTGCGGTCCGTCGAACAGCCTGGAACCCTAAAGCCTTTCAAAACTCGAGAGCAGATCCAGATGTCCATGGAGCCATTTCCCTGCGTACTCTACGGCGAATGCTGCGGTGCCCAAAGTTTTTTCCAGGCTTGGACCACTGATGGTCTTCGTGGGCTTCCAGGCCTGGCGGCCTGACAGAAGAACGCTTTAACAGAATGTTCCGCAATACCTGTATAATATAATACAATATGATATAAGCTAGTATAGTATAGTATAAAATATATATATATATATATATATATTTCAAAAGTCTAGGTATGTAATTGGCTCCCGGGCATCTTTCCGCGACATAGGGTTTGTAACAAAGCCGTTCTGCTTGCGACAAGCAGTCCGCGACAAACCTCCGCGACAAGCCTCCGCGACAAGCCTTTGCGACAAGCCCCTTCTTGGAACTGCATGGATTTCGTATCTCTTTTTCAAAACAGCCGCGACAAACCCCGCGACATACGTATGAAACAAGAGGGCGCGACATACGTATGTAACACAGGCGGGTGGCGGGACACCGCGACATACCCCTATTTAGAGCCACAGCCATATATGTGTGTGCATAATATATATATATATATATATAGCTATCTCTCTCTTTATATTTATATATCGCATATATATATATATGTATATATTTATATATGCTCACGCCCGCCCCGCCCTCCACCAATGATCCACCTCAACGAACAAAGGTCGATCTCACAAGAGGAGGAGATGTGATCTAGTGGCTGAAACATCGACAGGGCGGATAAACACATATATTCGTAAAGCATCAGGCAAGGACAACTGGGGTTGGCTTGAAAAACATCGGTCATTTTTTAGTTGTGTGTTGAAACCACCGCCAGGATCAATATTTCCAAAAAGTTCTCAAAACAACGACCTAAATTTGAGAGTCTATGCCCCACCCCCCTCCCCCCCAGATCCTAAAATATAGGTCTTCCGGAAGTGACTATTTTTGGAAAAAATCGATCCTGCTCGAGTTTTTTGGCCGCCTGGTGCTTCAAGAATTGTTGGAAGATTCGAGCCGGCTCGAATTTTCACAAAAACACCATCCTGCGCCTATGAGGCAGCTGCTGCCATGGATCCTGGATTCAGGTTTTCATGAAAATTCGATGGCCACAAATAAATTAACAAGTAAGTACGTAAATGAATAAATATGTATGAATATATATATATATATATGTATATATATCTAGAGACATGGATGGACTCTTAGACTCTTAGACCACTCGCTTGTCACACGTTCGCTCAGCACTTGGAAGGTTTTGGCATTCTGCGACTTCCAAAGGCGAAGGCAAGATCCAGAAGTTGCGAGAAGCCGTTGTCCCTGACCCAATTTAGACAGGCTCACCTTCCTCTAAGCACGAATAGCAGGCACAAGATGCAGGCCATGGAGTTCGCCATATTCCGTGCAAAGGTGGGGATTGTTTATGTTGATGATGTTGTTGCTTCAGACGAAAGGAGAAGGAGGGTGGGACGCAGTGAGAGTTCAAGCGCCTTTGCTTTTCCAAGTTCTCTATTGTGCATCTTCGGCGATGCCCAGTATGGAGCCCCGAAGAGGAAAGGCGTTAGAACTCGTCTGCTCTGCGAATGGGCCCAAGATGCCCAATATGCAACTTTGGAAGAATATGTGCATTTGAACGCGTGGGCTCTGCGCTATGCCTCGAGATGCCCAATAGGGAACTTCGAAGGGGAAAGGCTTTTGTACTCGTCTGCTCTGCGAATACGTGCGTTTGAAACGCGTGGGCTCTGCGATATGCCCCACGATGCCCAACAGGGAAAATCGAAGAAAAGATGCGTTAAAGCTCGCCTGCTCTGCGCAAAGCCAAAAAGAAAGGTGTTTGAACTCGTCTGCTCTACGACAGGCCCCCCAAGATGCCCAATAGGGAATTTCGAAGAGGAAAGGCGCTTGAATTCGTCTGCTCAGCGGGAAGCGCCACGATCCCCAACATGGAGATTCCAAGAGGAGAGGCGTTTGCATTCGTCTGCGCTTCGAAACGCCCCCCACGATGCCAGATGGGGAACTTCGAAGAGGCGTTTGAAATCCCCCAAATTATCGGCTCGAAGAGCAAAGGCGAGTGGGGGCCTGTCGCAGAGCAGACGAATTCAAATGCCTTTCCCCTTCGAAGTTTCAATTGGGCATCTTGGGGGGCCTTTCGCAGAGCAAACCAGTTAAACACATTTATTCTTCGATTTTCCATGTTGGGCAGCAAACGAGCTCAAACGCCTGTTCATCTCGAAGCTCCCTATCGGGTATCTTGGGGGGGGGCCTTCCGCAGGGCAAACAAATTCAAGCGACTTTCCTCCTCGAAGTTCCCTGTTGGGCACCTTGGGGGGCCTTCCGCAGAGCAGACGAGTCCAAACGCCGTTCCTCTTCGAAGCTCCCTATTGTGCATCTTGGGGGGCCTTTCGCAGAGCAGACGAGCTTCCCTCTCCGAAGTCTCCTGTTGGGCATCTCGGGGGCTTTTTCGCAGAGCAGACGAGTTCAAAGGTCTTTCCTCTTCGAAGTTCCCTGTTGGGCATCTTCCTCGGGGGCCTTTTTGAAGTTCCACATTGGTCATCTTGATCTTGGGGCCCTTTCTCAGAGCAGTCCAATTTCAACGGCCTGTCCTCCTTGAAGCTCACTGCTGGGCATCTTGGGGCTTTTCGCAGAGCAGACGAGTTTGAGCGGCTTTTCCATTTGAAGTTCGCTATATCGGGCGGCGTTTTCGCAGAGCTGACGAGCTCAAAGGCCTTAACTCCTCGAAGTTCCCGATTGGGCATCTTGTAGCCCCAAGAAATACAGAAACACAGACATCAAGAAATACAGAAATAAAGAAGAAAAGAAATACAGAAATAAAGAAATAAAGAAAGACAAAATAAAGAAACAAAGAAATAAAGAAATAAAGAAGCAAATATAAAAAAAAAAAAAACAATGAAATAAAGAAACAAAGAAACAAAGAAATAAAGAAATGAAGAAATAGAGAAATAGAGAAATAGAGACATAAAGATGCCCTCTCGGTCACCAATCGAGCTGCCTGGGGGCAAAGCCCCAGAGAGAAAGACAGAACAGGAAGAGAAAGGGAGGGGATTGTATGTCTGTGTTCACTCCAAACGAAGCCATGCATAATTTCTCACACAGACTTGGATCGCTTGAGCACGCCCCTTGGGGCCCCTTCGGGGGCTATATGCAGAGGAGGGAAGGAAGCGGAGAAAATTCCCGAACACGAGACGGTGAGGGCGCGCCCTGCGTGCGGGTGTACTGCTTGCTCCTACCCGGCAAAGGATCAAGAAGAAGAGCAGAAGAAGAAATAATATTGACAATACAAAGGTGCTTTGCAGTGGGCCTGCCCTCAATACCTTTGGAAAGAAAGAGCTCCAGCACAGGTTGTTGCTTTGCTGATCGTTTCCACCATCGTCGTTTGTGCAGCCTTGTACCCGACTGGGTGACCCGGCCAAGCAAGAGACGCATCAGAGACACGATTGTGAGAGCATAAGCATATACCCGTGTGTGTGTGTGTGTGTGTGCAATATATGTCCCGCGGCAGGTACTTTGGTCCGATCTCCTCCAGAATACGAGGGCTGCGCAACCCTTAAAGGAGAGAGTATTTTGTTTGTTTTTTTTAACATGTCATTTTTTCTTGCAGAGGTTTGTGAAGCACACGAAGACCGGCAACCCGCTAGTGGACTCTGTCGCCGAGCACCAGCCCGCTCGGGCCCCTTGAGGGCCAGCGCTTCCACCTGGGTCACAGCGTGTTCAGTGAGTGAGGTTCTCGGAAGCTGACTGCTGTTTTTGAGGCCAACCCCTCCATGTACGCCAGCTACCTGAACCTGCCACTGGACTACGCAATGCTTGGTGGTTTTGTTTGCCAGGGCCTCGCATGCTTCGAACTCCCTCAGCTCAACGCTCGCTGTAACGGTGCTGTAATGCTTCAGGGTTGAAGAGGCCTTTGGCGCCGCAACAACGGCTTCCTGTTCCTGTGCCTCTACGGTTTCGTTGCGCAGCACTTCTCCGGCAAGATGTCCCGCACCGGGCCTCGGAAAGATCGGAGAGACTCGAGAAACGAAGGGGATTTGGAAGCTCAACAGAGCTCTGTGCGATCTGTTGGACTATAGTCTGAGTCCAAGTTTTTTTCCTTGTGCACTCAGGGCTGGTTCTCATCTGCGGGCCCATCGTCTCCGTTGCTTGCGGGATCTGGTGCGCCGCAAAGACCTGCAGTATAAATACTGTACCGTCTACTCTCGGCTTATGATTCGTCTTATCTCTACGATCATTTGAGTAACTTCGCTCGCATCCACAACATAAGCAGATGTAGGAGGGAGCATCGCTCAAGCGACCTGGTTTCTTTTGGTCCCAGGTGTGGCTTCATCTTAGACCAGTTGATCGAGCCCTTCCTCATCCTTCTGGGCAAAAAAGGCGAATGTCGGGGTGTCAGCATCGCAAGTCTAGTCAGTCGAGTTTGCTTGTTGCTACTCTCGTGCCCCCACGGATCTTGGGCACTACGTCTCCGCTATCGTCTACATCTAAATTGGTGCAGTGAAGCCGCAGTTCGAGCATGTAGGGCCCATGGCTCTGGGGATGGAGGAGATCTCATACTTCTCCGAGATAACAAAGTCTTCACCAACCCCAGAGACCATATAGTAGACTAGCGCACTGAAGGAATGTGCATTCCAGGAAGGGACACTGAGTACCTACTTAATGGTCGCATGGGTGTTCTGCACAGGATATACTCCGCCTGCCCCTGTCGAGGCCAGCGCGCCTTGGTGAAAAGCGGGGCATTCTGTTGAGAGGGATTAAGGGATTTGCGCATGCTGAATGTTCGGCCTGGGCGAAGCTACATTGGCGCCGGCTCCTTTATGTGACTGTCGCGTTGGCCAAGGGTATGTATGTCTCCATCCAACACAAGCAACATGCACAACAACAAATGGCCGCAGCTACAAAAATTGGAAATTCGTGCCATGCACTCAGCGTTGCGAGTTGCTTCAGGACACAAACAGCAAAAA